ATCGGTCATTAACTCGTGATTCATGTATAATAGTCAGGGGATCAAAAGTGAAATTTATTCTTAATTCGGCAAATTATTGTATGGACCATGACCCAAAACGACATAGTTTTGATGTTAAAAAAAAAAAAAATGTTAGTCAATAACTGCGTGATCTGCTCAGCCGTTTATGTGTTAAAATAATTAAACTTCTGCGATAAGATAATGTATTTTATGAGTTAGAACAATGTATTTTATGCTTTAGAATAATGTACTTTATGTGTTAGAATATATAATGTATTTTTAAGTTAAAATAATATACTTTATGTGTTAAAATAATAAATATTTAGAGAAAAAATAAAAACGATATTGTTTTTTATCGTGGTTCCACAGCTATGCCACGCAATAATGATTCGTGAACCCCCAACTAAACATGTCCTTAGCCCCGTGTAATCGTGTATGGCACTTAACACTATGGACCATTGGTGTTAATAGTTTCTTGCTATTTGCTCCCTGTAAAATACCAATATATTGATGATAGTGATAGAAAGTATGATCAAAGTGGAAATGCATAACTTCATGAATACGAAATTTGATAGGTTGGTTTATTTTAAGTTATATTTATTATCTGATTATATTTGTATCATGTATGAATTAGCTTAACACTTTTTGTATTTATTTATAAAATTTAAAATTGAGATTTTACCTAAACAGAATCCCATTTTTTATTGGAATTAAAATTCATCAGTATTGATAGGTTGGTAGACCTACACCGCCATTATGATATTTAATAATTTTTTATGTGCATTTTTTAAAAGTTTTAGTAATTATATTTGTTGCGTATTCATAATTTATATCCTTGGAAATTTATCAAAAATTAGTATTGCGAGGGGCCATTATATGGTACAAATATTAATTTGTGGGGTTGATATTCAAATTGAATTAGGTCAAATTCGATTCTGATTCTTTTAAGTAAGACAAAAAAAATTAATATATTATATATTTAAAATGAATAATAGGTAAATGAGAAATTGAATTTTAAGTATATTCATTTGAATGGTTTGAAAAAAGTCTTTGTCCACATTAAAAAATGTAAGTGAATTTACACTAATATAAAATTTCTATTGTATTAGCCTATTAGGTATTTATTTAGATGTAAATCAAATTCTAAAATGAACTTAAACATGCTTTACTACCCACTAGTTGCTCCTGCAAACATGCTCATTCAAAATATACAAATACGAAAATTTTTAATTTATGCCCCTCCATAATATATCAATTATCAATGTCACTAATGAATTATTAATGGTGTATATGTTGCCCATCAATTATCAAAACGGTACATATTTTGCACCTTCTATATTGTAAATGTTGCCCCTCATTTTTCCTCTCGTACTGTACGGGAGGGGCAATGTACCGTTTGAAAAATTGAGAAGCAACATTTACACCACTAATAATTCAGAAGTGTCATTGATAATTGGCATATTATTATGTGCATAAATTACAATTTTCTCTAAATATATTGATGATAGTGATAGGAAGTATGATCAAAGTGGAAATGCATAGTTTGGTTTATTTTAAGTTATATTTATTATCCGATTATATGCGTATCTTGTATGAATTAGCTTAACACTTTTTTATTTAAAAAAAATTAAAATTGAGATTTTACTTAAAGAGAATCGATTTTTTTTTATTGGAATTAAAATTCATTAGTATTGATTGGTTGGTATACACCACCATTATGAGATTTGATAATTTGTTATGTGTTTGTTTGTTAAGTTTTTTTCTTTTTTTTTTTTTTTTTTTTTGAAAGGTTTGTTTGTTAAGTTTTAGTAATTATATTTGTTGGGCAAATTATACCGTGCATTGTGCGCCCTGGCTCAAAACGACATCGTTTTGTACCTTTTTCGCGTGTCTGTTGTTAACTCCTTAAAAAAAATTCATGTTTCGAATGTACAGAATTGTATAATAGAAAATACCGAATTTTATACTTGAAAACACAGAATTTTATACCTGAAAACATAGAATTTTTATAACTAAAAATCCTCATGTTTCGAATGTACGGAATTATATAATAGAAAACACAGAATTTTATACCTGAAAACACATAATTTTATAATAGAAAATTCTCATGTTTCGAATGTACAGAATTATTTAATAGAAAACACATAATTTTATACCTGAAAACACAGAATTTTATATCTGAAAACACATAATTATTTTTAAAAGAATAAAAATTCACTGTTTCGAATGTACAGAATTTTATACCTGAAAACACAGAATTTTATAACAAAATACAAAACAACGTCGTTTTGGGAGGTACGGGCGCACATTGCTATGTGCGCCCTAGTGCACGGTATAACGATTGTATTTGTTGTGTATTCGTAATTTATATTCCCTCCACCATATTTTAACTGTCATTTTTATTATTTATTTGTTAAAAAAACTCTTTTTTTTTTTTCATGTTGTAATTTTTTCTTATAAGTTTTAAATCTGGCTCTATGTGTGAATAATAATACTTTTAATGTTGATTTTAAATTCTAAATATATAAATGTTATATATTAATACTAATTTAAATATTATGTAAAATTAAATTATAAATAACTTAAGTTAAGTTGCACATAGAAATTAATGGTTTGTTGGAAAGAGAGTAATGACTAATGACATAGATAAAATATTTTGAATGAGATGTTACTTATGTTAAAGAACTAACTTATTTTGCAAAGATTGAAATAATTAAGCGATTGAAATTTGTAAAAATTAAATTATTAATAATCAATACTTATAATCAAGACTATGTGGTCTAATGGTACTCGGGTTGAACTTTCATTTGGAAGGTTGTGAGTTTGAGTTTTAGTTGAGGCATTATTGGTTCTTTGTGTTTTAGTAGGTTGAGAAAGTATATGGACAGATACTACATTGGAGGTGTTTCAGTAGGTTGGAATCGCCCACCCGAGATACCCCAACCCTTGAATTTTTGAAGGGATAAATCATGGTGGTTCAACTGACTAACATAGGCTAGACTTTTGTTCATTGTGCACAAGGAGCCTCCGGCTAGATTACTCTCACACTGTCGTGGGTGAAACTCGATCTCTTATGACAAATTTCACCTTTATGAGTAGTTGAGTTGCCCGTAATCAATACTTGTGACAAGATGGAATCGCCCACCCGAGACACCCCGACCTGACAATTTTTGAAGGGATAAATCATGGTGGTTCAACTGACTAACAGAGGCTAGACTTTTGTTCATTGTGCACAAGGAGCCTCCTCATTTTGGGAGGTTACTCCCACACTGTAGTGGGTGAAACTCAATCTCTTATGACAAATTTCACATTTTGTACCAGTTGAGTTGCCCGTAATCAATACTTGTGACAAGATAGAATCGCCCACCCGAGGCGTCACACACCCCGGCCCGACAGTTTTTTGAGGGGTAAATCATGGTGAGGGGTAAATCATGGTGAGTCAACTTACCAACAGAGGCTAGACTTTTGCTCAATGTGCACAAGGACCCCCCCCCCCCCCCCCCCAAAAAAAAAAATCATTTTGAAAGGTTGCTCCCACACTACTGCTGGTGAGACTCGATCCTTGATCTTTTGTGACAAATTTTATTCCTGTGACCAATTGAGCGACCATGCGGGCAATTAGTAATCAATACTTGTGACAAAATGTGGAAACGCCCACCCCAGATGCCCCTACACCTCAATCGGATAATTTGTGGAGGGATAAATCATTGTGATTCAACTGATCAATAGAGGCTAGCCTTTTGCTCACTGCGCACAAAAAGCTCTAAGGGTGTGCATCGGACAGGTTCGGACGGTTCGGATGTATGAACCGCCAACTCGTTCGGTTTTCGGTTTGTATTTTTTATATCCAATCCGTTTATTTAATTTGCTAAAATCGTCGGATATTTGACGGTTGTAATCGAATGTCGATTTTTGTTCGGATTGGCATTTCAACAACATAGTGCTGTAAAACATAAACTCACATACACAAGATTCCATCAAGAAGTTTACACCCCTATTCAATCAAAGACGAATTCAGCTTGAAAATGAACCCTAAGAGTAACAGATCAAATCTTAGAAAAAAAAAATTATTTACGGAGGAAATACATATATGCAACTCTGTAAATACACACAGACCTTAGGTCTGAGACGTATACAACATTGATTTGAACATCCATTGTCCATCCCCATCAAACCATTAACTTGGAGCAAACAATAATGGTATAATCTAGAAATTAAACAAAAAAATTGAACAAAACAAAGCGGCACCACACTTAAGAAAATGGGTATCTATGTATACATACATATGATTTCTTCGCATTTGCTTGCTTGCTTGATTTAGCCTACTACTTTCTTTTGCTTCTTTCTCCTACCGATCAAGCCTCGACCCAATTTCCGCTGTTTGTACTCATATTTTTAAATTTCCCAGTATGTCTCTAGAGTGATGTGAAGTAGAGAGAACCGGAGACTAGAGAGAACTAGAAGACTGCGAGTTCATCAGGAGAGAAGGAGAAGTAGAAAACCCTAGCTATAATATCATATATAAATACTTAGCAACACGACGTCGTTTAAAACATATACATACATATATATAATTTCGGATAATCGGACGGTTCGGATGACAAATATCCTAATCCTACCCGAATTTAAAACATCCGAACAAAGCATAATTCGGATCGAGTTTTGTACATTCGGATTCGGATCTATGCCCGTGTTGAATTTTGAATTTCGAATTGGGCGGGTATTGCTCAGGCCTAAAAAGCTCTGATCTCTCATTTTGACAAGTTACTTCTACACTACTATTAATAAGATTCGTTCCTTGGTCTATTGTAACAAATTTCACCCATGTGACATTAGTAATCAATATTGTGTTGATGGGACGGAAACTTTCCTCATGTTTCAATAGCTGTGTTGATGTGATTTGTAATATGTAATTTAGCTTGTTTTTTCATTGTTTGTATTAAATAAAAGATTAATTAATAGAAATTTGATTTGATAGGTCCAATAACATATAAAATAAGCCTCTTCTTCTACCAATCAAATAAACCCCAAATCTCTCCCTCCAAAGTCTCACACCCTTTCTCTAGCTTGTCAGTTACCTTATCTGGACAGAGGGGAATTAGGAAACGCTACTCTCCCTCTGTTTTCCGCCGGAGAAAATGAGAAAGAACCACCGACCTACCTTTGTTTGCCGGGAAATTCCGGGACTCGACTTGTCCACCAATGCTCGGAATTTCGAACCGGAACACCGGAGGAACAATTGGCTCACTATGTCCGGCGCCGGCAATTTCGCTTGCATTTCTCTGGCGGAGAAGCGCGAGGAGAAGGAATTCTCGCCGACGCCAGCTCAGCTCCTCAAGCATCCCTTGGCAATGCTCGCTTTGGCTCCGAAAGAAGTCGCGCTTTTCGCCGCCGGCGCCATGGCTGGGGCCGCTGCCAAAACTGTTACCGCCCCCCTTGACCGGATTAAACTCATCATGCAGGTGTTTGTCTTAACTTAAGCATTCTTCTTCATTTTCCTTTGGCGGGGATATTGATGCCAAACATTAGCCTGGTTTAACAATATTTGTTAGTTTTCTCCTCTAAGTTTATCAAAGTTGAGGACTTTTTGTCTTCGGAGTTTATAGCTAATGTTATTATAATCTGCTTCTTTGTGGCTGGTAGTTGTCACTGTATTAATAGTGAACTTTTGAATTAAGCCAATTTAGATAAGGATAATGACTTCGTTGATTGAAGTTTTGATTTTTTTTCATTATTGAAAACTGGATTCTATTTTATTGCAGCATTGTTAGAGAAGGGTTTTCAAGGGTTTTTAGCCTTTTAACTTGATATGGACTCTACTTCACTGAAGATTTGAAAAATAACAATATTAATTTACTTGTGGAAGTAAATATAAAAATAAAAAATGCTACCAGGTTCATGTCAAGAGTTGTATCTATTCGGTGGGTGATTTGTGGGGTGATATAGGGAGTATCTCTTTTATAATTTAAAGTTCAGCTATAATTCTCTAGTATCACTTCCCCATTACATTTAATTAGTGTTTCACCCCATCATCTCTTGGCATGTTGTCTTTGTTTTAGTTTCCTGCAAATGATTGTTCATTTATGAGTTTCCATCCTGCTACCTGTATTTGGTTTTAGACACATGGATTAAGAGCTGGGGAAGAAAGTGCAAAGAAGGCAATTAGTTTTATTGAGGTAGTTATTTATTTCTTGCTTACTATTAATTAGTACATATCCCTAAGACTAGTCCCCTTATTCCCCAATTGTTCCAGTAATGCCTTTGACTTGCAGGCAGTTACCTCAATTGGGAAGGCAGAAGGGATTAAAGGGTATTGGAAGGGGAACCTTCCACAGGTATTTTGCTTCTATCACCTGCTAAGCTACTTCAATATTCAGTCATAAATTTCTATGGATGTAATTGCTGAGTATGACCTTTAGTCTTTAAAATTGAGATTATGACAGATTTTCTTCTACTGTTTAGGTGATAAGAATCATACCATATAGTGCAGTTCAGTTGTTTGCCTATGAAACCTACAAGGTATGAAACCTTTTTCACAAGTATTTGAATTGTATTTTTATTTCAAATTTAAGCCACTTAACATGGATACTTTGTCAGAAAATTTTTAGTGGAAAAGATGGTGAGCTCTCTGTGATTGGAAGACTTGCAGCAGGTGCTTGTGCTGGCATGACTTCAACTTTTGTAAGTTGTGAAACTAAACTGTCAAAGTTGTGCTAATATGCTGAATTCTAATTGGGCATCATATACTTGGGAATGTGGCTAAAGAAATTCTATGGTGTAGAAAATAAATGAAATTGAAGAAATTTAGATCTGTAAGAGATTATATTGGAAAAAGTAAGGAAGGTTAAGATTAGTCTTTAACATGCTCATCACTGCTTAGGATGATGTAGGTTATTCTTAATATTTAAGGCATGTAGTGGTATGTAAACCCCGGCCAAACAACCAAATCTATTTTCCGGTTAAGTAGGGTCAGCTACATTGGTTCTTTGGTGGAAATCCAGTCTATTTAGACTATATTTTAAAATAGCTTGCAAAATATATGGATATGAGTGCTGGTGAAGCTCATAAAACCATGGATGAGAATCAGGAATACTGGGTTCGTTCAGATCCTAAGGAAGTTGCTAAGATTGTGATTTTATATTAAGGCCAATATGAATAAGCTTATTTTCAGTTTATCTATTACAGTAGGGTACTTATACAGTTATACTGATTTTTTACTGTGTTTGGATTAACTTATTAAAAGAGCTTGTCTTCTTGAAAAAGCTATTTTCAGCTTATTTCCATAAGCTTTTTCAAGTAATTATTAGAAAAAGCTGAAAATAGCTTTTCAAAGGCAGTTAAATAATGAGAAACCCTTATAAGTTGTTTTGGCCTTACTAAGAAATGCTTATTCAAACAACTCTTTTCATAAGAGCTTTAATTTAAGCTATTTATCCAAACTGGGCCAAAGTGGTAGTTGAGAATAAAAACAGACAGGAAGTATATCACAAGGTAATAAGAAAATTCCAATTTAGTGAAGAAGTATGCTCCACCTGTAGTGTTGCTGTCATGGCTTTATGTAATATGAAATATGTTGTTCAACACCCTTTAACTTCCTATAGTTCAAGTGTGAGTTAATTACCAATTTAGTTCCTAACTATGATGTCATTTCTAGATTTAGTCGTCAACTAATAATGAGATCGCATTTTACCCTTAACTTTGATGAAAATTTCAGATTTAGGTCTCTGTTACCAATTTCATCTCATCTTTATGAAATCTAAGGGCTAAAAAGTAAAAGTAAGTTACTATCTCGTCAATGGTGGAATTGTCAAAATTAATGTCCAACAATCACCAATTTTGTCCTAGTAGCCAAATTTAACCATGACACTCAACACCGAAATTTGCACTAAACTATCTAAGTGCATTGAAGGGAGCTTCAATGGAGTCCAAGAAGGAATTGGTACCAAAGGAAACCTATTGGGAGTTAGTAATTACCTTTTAGTCTCTAGATTTCATGGAGATGAAGGTGGAACTAGTAACGGAGGACTAATCTGGAACTGTTATCAAAGTCAAGGGAAAATTGTGGTCAAGTTATTAGTTAAAGACTAGATTTGGAAATGCTACCATAGTTGAGGACTAAATAACGAATTAAGTATTCATGTGTGTACTCCAGTTTTCATATCATAGTCACTACAGGTAAGGATATTTTCATTATTATGATTTTCCCCCCTCCCTTTCTCTTTGGGCGTTTTCCTTTAGTGCTGTGGTGCCATGCTGACATGCTGTGTTTGGGTGCATTGAGTAGTTAACAGTCAGCTCATATTCTTTTCATAGGATCTTCTTAACTTGGATTCTAGACATATGGGAATTTCTGAAATTTTACCTAACCTCTTTTCTAGTATTGGTTTGGAACTATTCATGAAACATTATGTTCTCTCCTTCCCCTCTGAACCACTGCCTATATTTTTTGTTATCACCTCAATATCTTTGCTATCCATATCTTGTATGTTTGACAGGTTACCTATCCATTAATATCTTGTTTATTTGGCAGGTTACCTATCCATTAGATGTTTTGAGGTTGAGATTGGCTGTTGAACCCGGGTATAAAACTATGACAGAGGTAAGATGAGCTGAAATTATACTTGCTGTGCATAGATCTAACAAATGAGCGTTGGACGCTAGGCTGCTTTGTTTGTTTTTAAATGCGAGAAATATGGTTGTTCTGTTAGCATTTTCGTAGTTTGTACTAAAGAAAAATAAATCATGCAATTATCACATAACCATTCAATCAAGTAAAATAGGAGGCAGTTCTATGTCAAATTGGTGAGTCTTAAGTTAAAGGTTCAAACTCTGATGTATCAAATGAATGGTTCAGTGGCCATTGCATTTCTATAAATTTAAAGTCCTATCTATGTGTTGTAAAAGGTAAACAATCATGCCAATATTAATTTGGATTCTATTAATATCTTTCAGGTTGCTCTTAACATGCTGAAAGAGGAAGGAATTGCATCCTTTTATAATGGTCTAGGACCTTCTCTAATTGGAATAGCACCATATATTGCTGTGAACTTTTGCGTTTTTGACCTGTGAGCCTATGTTTTTTAAGTGATCACTTTATGATTGTCTACCTGTGGAATATATATTTATAATTTATATTTTGGTTTGTGAATATCAGGGTGAAGAAATCTCTGCCAGAGAAATATCAGAAGAGCACTCAAACATCACTAATTACAGGATTGATTTCTGCAAGTGTGGCCACACTCACATGCTATCCATTGGACACAGTAAGACGGCAAATGCAAATGAAGGGTACACCTTACAAGACAGTTTTGGATGCTTTCCTAGGTAAACTGGCATTAAAACGTATTCATTCTTAATATCAATCTTATCTTTGAATAAGTTGCTTTCTCAGCTTTCTCCTTATTGGAAATTGCAAGAACTACTAAATGTTTCTATTGGTAGGTCATAAGCCTAACTGTTGTAGTTCTTTGTCACAGTAGTCCCCTGACTCATAAAATAGTAAAAATGCATGCAAGAGATTCAATGTTCTATATTCCTTTTCTTGCAATTGGATCGATCATGTATACAATTACACAGCCTGAGATCTATAATTTTGATTCTCGAAGTGGAACTGTATTTACTATTTTTAATGAATTTGTTTTTAAGAGCATATGTCAAAGTCCAAAATGTGTAGTATGGTATGAGCTTTTGAATGCTACTATCACAAATTTTGTTTACTTCTATAATTTCATGTATTCTAAGTTTCATATTTTATGAAGTGCGACACATCTTTGGCAATTTGAATGGTTCTTGCTAATTTATTTGAAACTTTTTCAGGTATATTGGCACGTGATGGTGCAGTTGGACTGTATAGGGGCTTTGTGCCAAATGCTCTGAAGACTCTGCCCAATAGCAGGTCTATCTTTCTTCTTGTTGCATATTTTTTCTTAAGTGTTTATAAATACATATCTTCTTGAATCTTGAAGAATGGTATGCCAAACCTCTTCATGAACACTCCCTGCAAATAGAAATGGTGTCAATTAATTACTTACACTTCATGTATGGCTATCTAAGTTCCTGCAACTCAATTGACACTGTAATTTCCCTAAGAATATTAGCAAAAAGTGCATTTTCCTATTTCGGTGTTTCCAACTGGATTACAATATCAGGCCAGTTCTGATACCATAATGCTTCACCAGACCCTACCATTTCATGATTAAACCTTTTCGCCTTCTTTTTCTTAAAGCTTCCAAGAATAATGTTACGGGATTGTTAGCACTCGAAGACTACTCTGCTATTTGATTTTCTCACTATAATTGTGTCTATATTCTTTCCAGCATAAGGCTTACAACTTTCGACACTGTGAAGCGACTGATTGCAACAAGTGAAACGGAGTTCCAAAAAATTGTGGAGGAAAATCGCAAGAAGGAAGAGCAAATCTCTGATGATTGCAAAGCTTAAATCTTGAGTTTGGTGTACTTTCGATACAATATTGGTGTCACCATTATTTTTTTGCCCAGTGCTTCTGCTGGGGAAAGCATTCACATTAGCTTAAAGCATTTGTATGAAACTTGAGCTGCTAGTATAGTGCTTTAGTATCTGCAGCTCTAATTTTTGTAGAACAGTCAAGTTTAGTGCCTTCATTCTAGTCACGTAATCTTTGTTTCTTGTAATATTTATGCCTACAGAACTTAGTGATGCTCTCAGATTGACCATTGCATCCTTCCATAGTGGTCTTTATTATTATTATTATAGTTATTATTATTGTTGTTGTTGTTGTTATTATTGTTGTTAGTTCTAATTGATTAATTCATTATATTTAGAGTACAGGAAGTATGAATGTTAAGATAAGAATGGTAAATGATATCTTCTCAATAATGCAAAGAGAGGGAGAAGGAATTCTAGTGCTTTTAGAATACAGAGTTCTTACGTCCCCTCAAGTTTAAGGTTTTCTAGATAGAATATTGAACTTGTCTCTTAGATTATTTAACTTTGTTGTAGTTAGTGGCTTGGTGAGGATGTCTGCCTGTTGGTTCTTTTGTAGATATGTAGTTTACTTGTAGTTCTTTTGATGATATTTTGTCACGAACAAAATGGTAGTCGTTGAGTTGATTAATTGTCACAGGTTCTATACTGGTCAATGGTGAAATCATCGTGCGATACTTTGGGCAGAAGCCTTTAAATAGACAGAGATAGTTGGGTTTTGCAAAAAGTCTAAATAAAACCTTGGCTCCACAAAGACTGCAATGGACTATGAAGACTCATATATCGTGTCGGAGAAGAATATTGAAAGGCGACCTCATAGTTTGCCATAGGGTCTAGGACATGGCATTTCCCACTGCAACATACAAAACTTAAGCGGATAGAGATGATAAAGAGAACAAGTTTAGTCTTCCACAAACAGATAGTTTGAGGAAGTAAGTTTAATGGAGATAAAGTGATAAGTTGTTTGTACGAAGAGGAAGTAGTGTCATGGCCGAAGGCAGTGCAACGGTAGGGGTTGGTGACGACGACGGTGGTTTTTTTTTTGATTGTTTGTAGGGTATTTTATTGGGATTGTGGTTAGATAGGCAATATCGGAAATGGTGCGAGAAGTGGAGGTGGTGTCTTTATTAGAACTTTGTTTACAGGAAGATCTTGCACGTGTCAAGGCCGAAGCAGCAAATAGATAAAGCTAGGAAGCGTGAACATGAGTTTGAGGTATGTATATATGCTTATTATTAATTGTATAATGTTAGTTATTATTAATATATGGGTGTTAACTTATCTTTCAGGTTCTCCGGCAGAATGAAGAGAGAGAGAAGATAAAGCTTCTCCAGAAGGCGGAGTCTCTGAGTTTGGAAAGGCAAAAAATGAATGAAAAGACAAAAAAAGGAGGCCAGGAGGATAAGTTAGGTTGATAACAAAGACAGAAGGGTGAAGTATGAGGAACACATGAAGGAGTTAAGAGCTCATCAAATCTCTGCACTTAAAGTGGGGGAAGGGGAACATGCAAGTTTTGGGCAAGCAGCAACTTGCACAAGCAAAAGTTGAGTCTCGATAAAACACTAGTTTTCCTCCCATATGCGCTCATCAAGAAGCTAGGTCAATCTCATTTCTAGTTGAAATTTGATTTGCCCCCCGCGAGAGAGACTATACAATTCTACAAGTTTCAAAAAAAGAGCTTTGTATAAAAAGGGGGGCAAATCCTCTTTTCAAACCAATGTGGGACAAAAGCTCACTTTTCCCTTCATTTTTTCAACTCAATGAGTCTACTTTGAATATCTCATTCACTCATTATCCGTTTTGAGCGTACAATATATCAATCTCTTCGTCTCACTACGAAGAATCCGAATCCACTTTAACCCGACTCAAATCGAAAGTGGACCCCACTGATAATTGTACTACAAGATAACCACTTAACATTCCATTTTAAGTTATTTTTTCCAACAAAATTAACCCATAGTGGACTCATAAATATTTATAAAATTTCTAGTCCGTAACAAGTCCTTACGATCACAAGTTAAGATGCAAAAAATTGTTATGATCAAACTCTTACCATCACCCCAAAACTATAACTATAGCGAAAACAAACTTTATTATTATTTTTTTTTATAGAAAGTCAAGGTATTCATCGTCTTCCGCCCAACATTCCCCTAGTCACAATGCTTGAAGGAGTGGAAGGACGATGTCTCAAATATTGCATGAAACGACGGCGTTTTCTATATAGTCCAGGGGATTGTTGGACGAAGTTACAACCGTTCCATATATACGAGTCGATAAACTTTGACTCTTCTCCCACTCAGTCAATCCTTCTTACCGCCCGGAGCTATACGGTAACATGCTTTCTCACCGCCTCTGCTTTTCCTTCTCACCTTCCGACCTCAAACGCTCCATTCCTATCTCGCGCGTTCCACTACACCCTCAATATGTAGCTCAGGTGCGGCCATATCAAGTTGCAGTCGCGGCAAAGAATGCCATTAATGGGACGGAAAATGGAGCCGTTCGTTTCAAAGAGAGCGGTGAAGCTTTGGATGAGGAAGCGTCTCTGCCGGCGGGGCTCCGGCAGGATCTGATGCCGAACCACGTGGCAGTTATAATGGACGGGAACAGACGGTGGGCTCGGACGAGAGGGTTGCCTGTGGCTTCGGGTTATGAAGCGGGTGTTCAGGCTCTGAGGAGATTGGTGAAGCTTTGCTGCAAGTGGGAGATTAGGGTTCTCACTGTTTTCGCTTTCTCATTGGATAATTGGTTTCGACCCAAAGTGAGTTCGAAATAAATTGTTTTTAAAAATGCTGAAATTTTATTTTCAAGTTAAAAATATTTGTTTTGTTGGTATGAAAATTCATTTTCTTATATTTTTAGTCTTATTGCATTCGGATTGCACAGGTAGAGGTTGACTTTTTGATGGGCTTATTCAAAAATGGACTGGATAATTTACTTGAAGAATTTGCAAGGTGAGTTTCTGATATTTCAGGAATTTAATTTTAGAAAATATGGTTACTCTTATCTATACTATTTCCTGCTAATATAGACTGCCATAATATGGAATTCTTTAGGCATAAACATGAAGGGTAAAGCATTAGGTATCCACGAAGAAACAAGAATTAACATAAAGAACATAATATGAATGAATTTTGAGGGTACATAACTTGTTGAGCAGATGCCAGTAAGGGCCAAGTCCAACACCATGTAGTCAAGGGGATTGTTGGATGGAGGTCGGTAAAGGGTCGTAAGTAGTAAGCATTTGATCTAACAAGTGGTATTAGAGCCAGGTCACGGGCTGATAAAGGGCCAAGTCCAACACCCTGTCTCTCGAAAATGTGGTGACGGGCTATAAAGAAATAAAGTTGAAAGAACATAATGGGGTGTTTGGTATATAGTTGTTAGCTGTTAGTTGATTGGGTTAGTGGGTTTGAGTAGTTGATAGCATTAGCTGATTGTAGAAAGATGTTTGGTAAATTAGTTGTTAGCTGATAGCCGATTACATACAAAATGACTTTCTCAAAAGCTGATCGTGTATCGGGTATATTAACAAATGCTCCATAGTAGTTACACTAAACAAATTGCTTTTATGTGTAATCATATTGTGTGGTGATATTACTGGAGTTGTATAAGTGCCTCACTAATGGTTCTCCACATGATATAATGGTTAGATAATATGTTGTTGCAACAGGCACTACAAACTAATGTTAAATCTGTGGCTTTGTGATAATGGTTTTGCCATCTGTTGTTTCTCATGTGTAATATCGGTTTTCAACAGAGCAGAAATTCGAATATCTGTAATTGGAGACTCCACTAAGCTCCCCAAGCCATTACTGGGATTGCTAAGCAAAGCAGTGGATTCAACAAAAAATAATTCACGGCTTCATCTCATTGTGGCCGTTAGTTATAGTGGGCAGTACGACGTTGTACAAGCTTGTCAAAGCATAGCCCAAAAGGTGAAGGATGGTAAGATTGAGCCCAAAGATATCGATGGCTTTCTAATTGAGCAGGAACTACAAACGAGCTGTACTCACTTTCAATACCCTGATTTATTGATTCGAACTAGCGGTGAGCTTAGAATTAGCAACTTCATGCTGTGGCAGTTGGCATACACAGAACTGTTTTTTTCACAATCGCATTGGCCTGATTTTGGAGAGGCCGAGTTTTTAGAGGCTTTGTACTCTTTCCAGCAAAGGCAGAGACGGTTTGGCGGGCAAAAATCTTGAGTTCTTTGTTCCCTCTGGTGGGATCCAAAAAATAATGATGCAGAATTGAACTGTGACTTTGATTCATTATACTGTTGACTGCTTTGAGGATTTGCAATCAGTAACAGTGCTGCCACAATGCCTGTGATATTCAGAAGTTATGGATCTAGCAAATGGATGGCCAGCCTTGTGGTATTTTGTTTATCAGCTACTCAACCCTAGATGGCTATCTTCAATTGTTATACCATTGGACCAGGGTTCATATTGCATTGTGAACCTTGGTCCAAAAATTATGTGTCTGTAGTTAACACATTCTGTACCTGTAATTAATAATCTATGTACCTGTAAACAAATTGAAGGCACTTGATAATTACAGACACATAACATGATAACTACAGACACAAATTGTTAAGTGCAAGTACAAAATATGTTAATTGCAACTTAACATGTTATGTGTCCGTAGATAACATATTCTGTACTTATAGTTAACAGTTAGTTTCTGTAGTTATTATGTTGTGTCTGTAATTAGTGTAGTTATCATGTTATATTGTTATGTGTATGTAATTAGTAGTTATTAGGTACAAAACGTGTCAACTGTTGGTACAGAATCCGAAAATTATTTTTGGATTAGGGTTCACAATGCAAGGTAGGCTATCTCCCAACTCCACAAGTTCATGCATCATGAACTTCTAAGTAGCTTGTCTTTTCACTAACAGCATAACAGCATGTGCTTGAAGTCTTTGGTCTTTGTGGCCTTTGCTTGATACCCTATTGTAGTGTTTGAGGTGCTGGACTATGGCTCAAGCTTCACCTATCTGAAGAAGAGAAAACTGCATGGAATGAGAGATAATTTGCTCCTCTTCTTTATGTTTCTATATCTTCTTTTTTATTGTTTATTTGTGTAGGAATAGTCTTGTTAGTTGGCAAACCATTTACATAGAAATTGTAATTTCTGGAAGTCAGATTCTTGAAATATTACATCCAATCTGAGACCTCTGTTAAAAAAAAAAAAAAGGCTTTTATTTTATTTTACTTGAGGGCTTGCAACATATATTTGATATTTCCCACTTTCCCAGGATTTATTTTGATTATATTGCTTACTTGAATGCTGGCAAAATAGAATAACACCAAATGGTAAATGGCCAATAACATTGATAATTAGAACTGCAGTGATAATCTAAAGATCAAAAGGATACAAAATACCATAAGTTCATAATATAGGTGCAAATGGATATACAGAAATTCATCCAGATCTATGTAGATAGGAGTCATATCTTGCCCTATGTGATAATTTTATGATCCTGCAATGTCACCTAGAATGGTAAGCATACACAAGATATACTCCGTATGTTACAGTCGACCTATAATATAAACGTTCAGCATCCAGCAGCCATGGATATATAACATGGATCCCAAATAACTTTAGTCATCATCTTCATCGTCATCCTCTTCTTCCTCATCATCTTCTTCCCCCTGCACAGAAAATACATACAGAATAAGTGGGTATCTCGGGAATTACTCACAACATTCAATTAACCTAAATATGGAGTAGTAGGAGGTAACCCCAGCCAAGATGGCAATAAATCCACGCTTGTAACCACAAGGCCACAAGTTCGAATCCTTGCCTCCTTGGTTTGAGCTGGTCAGTTATGGGTAACCTAGGCTAGTTTACTTCCTTGTGGTCCTTGTGGTCCTTTGCAGACAAAGGTTATAAGGCGGGGGATACACACTCGAAAGGATTGTGGGGTTTCTCTCGCCATCCACAAAAATAATACGGAGTAGTATCTTCGGGAAATACCTGCCCACTTTCCTCGTCCTCATCATGCACTTCAGAGTTTGACTTTTCCGATTCTTCATCAGCTGAGCTTTCCTGCCAATTAATGGGCAAAATAAGAGACAAGTCAATAAACACTTCTAACTTATTGTTTTACACTACAATTCTCATGGGACAATGCTGCTTGATGAAAACAAGAGACGGTAGGAAGATTCACCTGCTTCTTGTTATAGGCATTCATTAGCTTTTCATAATCAACCTTCCTTGCAGCAGCCTTTGCTTCGTAAGGAGCTTTTTCCTATAGACCAGTATGTAAGGGTAAGTTTTATCTGTTATATGAGTTTGATGCTTTCTCTCTCATCTTCCGATTTCAAATAAAAATATTCAAATTTATGCAAGATCAAGTTTAGGATATATGTATCATTTAAAAGGGATCCTTGCACTAGCATGCCCTTTTACATATTCCAATTAGTCTTCAATGAACACTCTTCTTTATCACCATCAATTTATAACCAGAATACCACAAGGAATGAAAATTACTAGATTTACTACTCAGTCACCTAGTATGCTGCTAAAATGTATAAGCTTTTTTGTTTAATTGGGTGATTAGCCTGAGTAATGAATAGTAAAACAGCTTTTCATAGTAATAGGTGTCCAAACCAATCATGCTTAGAAAGAAAGAAAGAAAAAAAAAAACCAGAGGAAAGATCGAAAGACTTTGCCCACAATAACTTTGGCTAGGGAGAAGGCCTCAAATACTTACAGCTGCAGTCAATGATTTCCACTTCTCTCCCCCAGCTTTCCCGACCTTCAGACACAGATAAACCAAATAAAAATTCAGTCTTCAGAACTGAGTTTCAAGCAGATAAACATTTAGCGTAACCGCAATTAACTTACAGCTGATACAGCCTTCACATTGGGGTTTTCTTTTTTAAATGTCTTCCGGAACTCCTCACTGCAACACCAAAATAAGTCAGATGATACTAGGCAGACCTCACAACATTATGTGTAAATTATCTCAAAAACATCATGAGAAAGAATCATTACAGGAATACAAAGAAAGCACTTGGTGGCCTCTTGGGCTTGTTAGGGTCTTTCTTAGCCTTCTTCTCCTTCTTAGCTTTTCCCTTGTCGGCCTTCTGGGCAGCCTTTCTCTTCCCAGACTTTCTGAAAATAATAGAGATACACATGATCCATCACTATAACATTCCTGCTCTCACTGTACCCACCACCGTTAAAACCAAATTAGAAACAAAATTCACTAGCACAGCAGCTAACTTCATCAAAACACACAATGGTAGAGGCAATATAGTCTTCCCATTACTTTATCCTGGCACGAATAAAATTAACGTTTAACTTTGGGATATTGCTAACCTGTCATCAACAACAGGCTTCAATGCCGCTTTTGTTTCTTTTCTTGATGCTGCTTTCCCCTTTGCACTCTTCATTGTTCAAGCCTATACGAGTGCAGCAGTTTTGGATTAGAAGCAGCTAACGTAGTGGAAAACAAATAAATCACATTGAAAATCAAAGCCAAACATAATTCTCGACTTCTTTCTCTCATGTATAGAGTCGACGCACAGAAATGGTTAACCACTATGCTATGCAAAAGTGGGCAAATATTGCAACTTTGCATAGTATGTAAACTTCTAAAAATTGGGAATGAATGAATGAAACTCAACTTTCTCGCAGAATTAAGTAAATATGAAATTTATAAGTTCACTGTGCTAAAACAAATATATTAAATTCAGGAAAGTAAAGAATATTACTACCATCAATGGTTCAACATAGAGGATCAGGAATCTTATTCTTTTCATTGCCAGAGAAAAATCAGAGAAAATGAACACCAAAAGAAAAGAAAAAAAGCGATTAATCTCTATCTTCTATTATCAATAAAGTCAACAGGGAAGAAAATATTTATTTTTTTTCCTAAAAATAATAAAACCCTTTCCATAAACACTTAACTAAACAATAACGCTGCATCAACATAATTATATGCAAGAAAATAATTAAAATAATTGGATTGTAGTATTTCAACAAAAAATCCAGAAAATTCACAGCACAAGCAACTACTTTCAACAAAGAAAAATTCAGGAAATCTAACTCGAACATAATTATAGTTATAATCCATGGTGCTAGTAAATAGAAAAAATTAAAAAAGAAAAATTAGGGGAAAAATAAACCTTGAGAGATAAGGAGTGATCGGCGATCACGGAGGCAGAAGAAGAAAACAGAGCAGTGAGGGCCAAGAAGAGAGAAGAGAAGAATGAAGAAACAGACCGGGCGGTTTTGGACTGATGTCTGTCTGCTCGCTTGTCAGCCGTAGATCAAGAATAACTCGATCTCGGCCGTTGAAGGTTTTAAGAAAAATCATAAAAGTTAAGTGTCCTGGAATCATAAAGTTCTTTTAAACAAAGTATGCTCTTTTCTTTTTTGAGAATCAATATAATCTTATTTTAATAAATATTTTAAAATATCATTTTTAAAAATAATAACACTAAATTTGATTGTTTTAACTATTTTTAATTAATTCTAATTTAATAAAAATTGTGATTAAATTTGGTTTCATTTTTGTTCTTGTGATAAGTTCTTTTTACGATTTTTTTTTTTAATCTGTGTTCCTCATGGTTGATCATCATTCTACCACGATTGATGAGCCGGTGCTGCTTCAACTATAGAGGACGATGGATGAGTCATCTTGGGTGTCGAACTGTCGATGATTTGGAAGCAACGACTCAAAACTCTATGGAAACCAGAAAAATGGGTGAGCATCAGAAAGTTAAAGTATAATCTCTTTTTGTTTCTATTTTACCATGAAATAGATATGTCTCGAGTCTTGAAAGATGGTCATTAAGCTTTTGAATATAACCTTACGGTGTTGTTTGAAGTTGCATGAAAATTAAAGCCGGCTAATAGTGCCTCTAATTCATGCAGAGTTTTGGATTCAAGTTCACAATCTTTCAATTAGATTTATTTCATAAAAGGAGGTCAAGGTGATAGGGCCTTACATTGGTGCATTTATTTTTGTCGATCAGAATAACTTTGATGGTACCTAGATGAGAACTGATAGAATTGTATTCGGTAATGTAATTACAAATGTACAGATTACTGGTATATATACTAGGAGAGTCTTAAATAGACTAGGATAGGGAATCATAATATAACTCAAATACATAGAGTACTAATACTTCCCCTCAAGCACAGGTATATTGGTAACCTGTAGCTTGTCTCTAAGAAAAGAAAACATAGGACCATATAGAGCCTTGGTGAAATATCAGCAAGTTGATCCTTCATTGAGATGAAATTAACCTATATATCTCTATTCGCAACTTTGTCTCTAAGAAAATGATAATCAATCTCCACATGCTTAGTGCGAGCATGAAATATAGGATTTGCACACATGTATGTAGCACCAAGATTATCACACCACAACTTGGGAACAGATATGTTAGTCACGCCAATTTCACGCAGTAGGGTTACTTCAGCACAGACATCTGCTAGAGCTTTATACTCAGTATAAGTGGAAGATCTAGCAACAGTTCTTTGTTTCTTACATAACCAAGAAACAAGATTGGGTTCAAGAAAGACATCATAACCACTAGTTGACTTACAATCCTCAAGACAGCCAACCCAATCAGAATCAGAAAAGGCACGCAACTCCCTAGACACTTACTTCCTTATACGCATACCATAAGTAATAGTTCCCTTGACATACATCAGTACACATTTCAATTGCTCCCAATGAGATACTGTAGGAGCATGCATATGTTGACAGAGTTGATTAACTGCAAAGGACAGATCTGGACGTGTAATAGTGAGATACTGTAAAGCTCCAGTCAAACTCCTATACTGTGTAACATCATCATATAAATCTACATCAAAGATATTAGATTTCGAGACAGATATAGGAATAGTTAATGATTTACAGTCTGTCATGCCAGCACGTTTCAAAATATCTGTCATGTATCGTTGCTAGGAAAGCAAAATCCCATCACTAAACTTAACAGTTTCAATCCCAAGAAGGTTTCACCAAGATTTCTAATCTTGAACTCTGTAGACAATTTTGCAAGTAGAACACTGATAAGATTCTGATCACTCCCCATTACAAGAATATCATCCATATATACTAAAACATATATAAAGGTAGAATCTTGTAAGAGGTAGAATAGAAAAGCATTTGTTTTTGAGGCTTTAAACCCAGCTGTCATTAGAAACGCGTGCAAGCGATTAAATCATGCTCTGGGAGCCTGTTTTAATCCATATAGATAGCGTTTCAGTAGGCAGACATGATTATGAAACCGTTTGTCAATATACCTAGGTGGTTACTTCATATAAACAGTTTTAGACAATTTTTCATTCAAAAAGGCATTGTGTACATCAAGCTGCTTAATAACCCATCTAGAAGATATAGCCAAAGATAGAAGCAACTTGACAGTTGTGGGTTTGACCATTGGGCTGAATGTGTTGAAAAAATCATGTCCAGGTACTTGATTGAATCCTTTAACCACTAACCTTGCTTTGTGGCGTTTAATTGATCCATCTGTTTTCCTTTTGGTGCGAAAAACCCATTTGCACCCAGTAACATTCATATTTGACTGTGATGGAACAAGACACCAGGTTTCATTCTGAAGAAGGGCATTAAACTCTTCATCCATTGCTTTTCGCCACTCAGAATGTTTGACTGCCTGTGAGTAACAAGTGGGTTCAGTAGGGTAAACTTGAGTAGAGAGAGCCATAAAAGGAGCTTGAGATCGACTCTGGGTAGCCATGGTTGGGACCAGACCATCGTTTTCATAGACCGCCCCCTAGGCCGGCCTCGGGGCCGAGTGGCGACTGCTGCTTGTGTGTGTTCAGCTGGTTCAGGCTAGTCATTGTGAGCCAGAACCGATCCGGGCAGCGTGGGTTGAATCGGAGCAGTGGGCTGGTCTGGAACAAAAACAGATTCTGCCCATGGTTGTTCTGTCCGAACCGGAGGAGCCTGCAAAACACTTTTAGCATTGAAAGGGAAAACCCCTTCATTAAAACGAACATGCCTGCAGATATGCAAGTGTTATGCAGCAGAAGATGGTACTTGTGGTCGTATCTCCGACTCCGGCGACAGTAGCCCTCCCCAGCGAAGCTTGCGTGCTCTGTACAAACGCCATTCCCTATATATACCCATCGTGTTCGTGGAAGAAGACTCCACCTAGGCGATTGCTCTGCGAGTCCAGTGACGCCCACGAGTCCATCGTTGCCTAGGTGTGGCATGTCCTTGCAGTCACTTTGGGTTGGTGGATATGGGCGGTTACAAGCTTCCTGTTAGTGGTGGTGGAGGTGGAGTGCATGTTCTCATTGTGAAGCTTGGCTTCTTTGGAAATGCAATTCTAGAAACTTCACTGGTGGATGTGTATGGGAAATGACAAGAAATGGATGCAATTCTCATTGAGTTTCTTCTTCTATTTTAACTGGGTTTTCATCTCCCAACATGGATTCTAGGGCTTTAAGGAAAAAATATAGGTGAAATGACAATTTTGTCCTCAAACTTAATGCCCCTTTGACAGCAAACTTAACGGAAGACCACATGTGATTATTTTTTAAAACTAGGAGGACTTCTCGTGGTCGTTTAAAAGTCAAATGACCACAGCTGGTATATGGCTAATACTCAGAGGACCATTATAATCAAATAAATGTACACTTTCAAATATTAGAATTGTATATAATTTATCTTTAATTTATTATTTAAATATATAATAAAATAGTTTTATCCGTGCACCGCACAGGTAATTTACTAGTTATAAATATAATACAAACAAGACGCAGACCTAGATGGTCTATTACATGACCCATAGACAATAGAAAGAATGTTTGTAGAAAGTTGAGTGTTGTAATGATGATTGAGAGATGATGTCTAAAAACCTTGGAAATCATGCTATTTATGGTGCTAGATGCCTAGAAAATCAGTTGTACCTCCAAAAAACCATAAGAAGTGAAAACATTCGATAATATTCACTCATAGTGGACCTATACCAACCACATATTCGGTGAGAGACTCAAAGGTGCCCATGCATGAAACTGAATAGTGTGCAGGGTGCGCCAACATGGCCCCCAAGCAACACTACGGAACTACCTAGCACAACCAAACACGTATTGCCTCACTAGGTAGATAGCACCTCGCACAACGATGCAGCCATGCCCCTCTTATAACCTTGGGTCATGTCTTCCTTATAATTGCACCTTCCCCCCTAGACTTTACTCCTTTTCTACTTTGACACCCAAACTCCCCAACCCTTTGCACTTGATACCTGGCTCTAGTCCTCCCATCCCAACCTCTCTCCTCCTATTTAGCCCTTCCCATGCCTAATATTAACCCCTCCTGTACTTCTTGGGCCTAGGTCTTATGCTTCACGCTAGTACATAACTACACATCCGCTATTATTGTAAAGAGCTTTTCGTAACTATTTTACAACAATAGTGAATTCTAGGATCGATCACTGAAAGCCTTGGACTTTCCGCCACTATAGTGGAACAGGGGCGAAAAGTTGGGTCATTAGCCACTGTTCTTAGATAAGAACAATGTCGGATTATTTTTTTGTTTTAAAAAAAAAAAAGTATCCGCTACTACTGTTCATAAGCTGGAACAGGTAGCGGATACCCTTAAAAAAAATTGGGTATCCGTTATTATTCTAGCTTAGGAACAGTAGCAGATACCCTTTTTAAACAAAAAAAAAAAAAAAAAAATTAGGGAGAAGTGTCAAATAGGCCCATGTACTATTGTCAAGTGCTCAATTCCCACCATGAACTAAATTAAAGGCTAATTGACCACACTTACCTACTAAATTTGTTCAATTAGCTTTTTTTTTTTGCAGGTAATTGACTTTTTTTTTTTTTGCAGATTACCAATTCAATTATTAAAAAAATAATTTTAAAATAATTTAAAAATTATTAAAAAAAAAAAAAAAATACAGCCACCGGCTATCCTCGCCGGTGGCTGTATTCTTTTTTATTTTATTTTATTCTATTTATTTATTTTAATAATTAAATAGGTAACTTGTTATTAACCTGTAAAAAAAGTCAATTAAACAAATTTAACTCATAGATGGATCTATTTGACACTTAATTTAGTTCGTGGTGGAAATTGAGCACTTCGCAGTAATACATGAGCCATTGACACTTGTGCCAAAAAATTAACAAATAAACAAAGCCAAGCGTTCTCTAATTTTTCCAAAGCAGCATGTCGCCGTTCTCTAATTAACAAATAAATTTTAGTCCGTTCTCTAATCTTTGCAAAGCAGCCTGTCGGTAATTTATATGATGGATCATGGTTTAATACACAGAATTTGACTTTATAAGGTACATAATTCATGTTCATAATACATATACACATAACACGATATAATGAACATGAATTATGTTTACTATGTTAAGTGTTTATGTGTCATTAGCTATATAATACACAGAATTCATGTTCATAATACACAAAATTCATACTCATTATATCGTATTTATGTATATATGTATTATAAACATGAATTATGTGTATTATGCACATAAATTTTATATATTGAACTAATGTCTACAATACACTGTGGACCCTGGTCCACGATATAACGATTGCATTCTATTGCCGTATGTCATTTCGTCTTTACTTTGCTCAATTGCTCCTCCACTTCAGATGTAAACATGACTATTTCAATCCATACACCACTGCAGATCTCTTAGGTTAGGAAATAAAAAGAGAACTTCAAAGTGCAAAACAATTGCAAACATGACTATTTCAATCCATCCTTGAATTGGCTGCAAACATTATTTTGTTATATTCTCTACCTTATGCCCTTTACCCATGCAAATCTGATAAAAGAGAATAATTTTACATCACATGTAACTATATATAGTAGCTTCAATCTATATTTCAGAACTTCACTATACTAAGTTTAAGGATTGATATCAGTTGGAGTGTCACAATATAATGGCAACTTTTGGCGGGGAGCATAAAAGATGGATTCCACAGAGAGCATTGCAACAGATATTATCATCTCTTCCAGGCAGCCAATTAAACTCGCCAGCAAGAATGAGAGATATAGCGGCAGCCTGGCCATTTGATGCCCAATGGGATTAGACAGTACAGTATAGTTCATTATTTTTTGTTATGAATTAATTATGCATGGATTGACTTTAGGAATGGCAACACTGTGAGAAATATGTGGGTGTACTCCGTGTCCACATCTCTGATTTTCCGCCCACTTCCCGTTTTATTGGAGGTGAGAATTGAATTCCCCGTTAAATTTACATGTAATAATCTTCCTTAATTGCCAAGCACCTTGTGCATGAAAATGGAAAGCAAGTCTTAAAGATAATAGGTAGAGCCACTGATAAACAAGTGAACCTCTTAACCAACTACTCTGGCGGTGGATGTAGAAAAAAGCTCATAACGTATTGCCGGAGTTCTTCAATTTGTCGTCTTTGTGGCTGGTGAAGTTGATAGTGAAAAGCTTGAATAGTGTTCCAGTCGGTAACTGGTGCGTAATGCGGTGGCATTGGTGAGAATACGAGCATAGGCAGGTGGTGGCAGATCCATGTTGACCCCTTCGGGTAGGGAAGGAATCTCTAAAGCAATGTCAAAGCTTTCATTTTGCACCTATGTGGCTCTCCTTGAGAGAAGGTTACAAGATCGAACCTCGGTGGTAGAGTTTTGGCTCTTTGTGCTTCAGTAGGTTGAGAAAGTAATTATGAACAATACTACATTATAATAGAGTCAAAGAACTTGGGATCTCTATTACAATGTAATAATAGAGTCAATAGTATTAAAAAAAAAAAAAACCTTCCTTAATTAATTTCACCCACTAGCTTCACCAATTGCATTTAATTTCATTGTGGCATGCATATATGGTCCATATTACCACATTCAATATCATTGTTGCATATATGGTCCAAATTACCACATTTAATTTCATTGTGGCATATATGGTCCAAATTAAAGAAGAAATCAAAGCAGAGATGTAGATGAAGGTTCAGTCACCATCCCAATAATCATTCCCAAATATTATCTGTTTGATAGTTACCCTGTGTAATGTGTATGAACCACATAACACATCATCATATCCTACGTGCCCTTTCAAAAGACCATCCACTTCAACTAAAACATTCTCCACAAACCAGATGAAGTAGAAGATAAGGCTACGCCACCACAGCCCTCTGATCTCATTGCTTCACTCCTTGATCCAACGCTCACAATTCCCCGCCCAACATGATCCACACACCCTTCCAAAAATCGCCATGCAAAGACACCATGCCACTTAACTTCTCTATAACCCTCTGATCTCATCTTCTTTTACTTCTCAATTTCCTTAGTTTCATCTATCATATCCCCACAAGCATATAGCCATGGCCGCCACAGCCGCCACGCCTTCCTTCCTCGGAACCCGGCTTCCGAAGACCCAGAATGGGATGGGCCGAGTGCGGGCATTGCTTGGATTCGGACGCAAGAAAGCCGCTCCGCCGCCGCCACCCAAGAAGTCTGCACCGCCGCCGAAGCAGGTGAGCTCAGACAGGCCGACGTGGTTCCCGGGAGCGAAGGCTCCGGAATGGCTGGACGGAAGTCTGGTGGGTGACGTTGGGTTCGACCCGTTCGGGCTGGCAAAGCCCGCTGAGTACTTGCAGTTTGAGCTGGACTCTTTGGACCAGAACTTGGCCAAGAATTTGGCCGGAGACATCATCGGGACCAGGATAGAGAGCTCCGACGTTAAACCTACTCCTTTTCAGCCTTACAGTGAGGTGTTCGGGATCCAGAGGTTCAGGGAATGTGAGCTCATTCATGGCAGGTGGGCCATGCTGGCTACTCTCGGTGCCTTGTCTGTCGAGTGGCTCACCGGCGTTACTTGGCAAGACGCCGGAAAGGTATGTTTGCCTTGATGGCTTTTTTCTATTTTCTTGGTAGCAAGGAAACTACCAGTTACTATTTGAGGATGTGGACGAATAAATCATGTCTTATAATCTTAGCGGTCAATTTAGCTACAAGAAGATAAATCAACTTAGGCTATCACTAGCTAAGGCTACCCTGTCATTCCGTCAAGATAGTTAAGAATAAAAACTTGTAATCATAAGGTTGCAAGTTCGAATTCCAACACTCTTGATTTGAACTGGTGTGGTCCTTTATCGGCTAGTGTTAGAAGGCAGAGTTTATCCGTGCACATCATCGAATAGTGGTTGCAGATTTCTCTTGTCACCTATAAAAAGTCAATAGGTTGCTCTTAAAAAAATTAAACTTGAAATCTTATAATCATGAAGATAGGCGTTTGATCGACATGACTGAATTGCTCTCATTTACAATACCATTACAAATAATGTATATGATAAATTGAACTTGTAACGTTATAGACTAATGGTAGGTGGGTATATTGCATTAAAGGTTGAACTGGTTGAAGGGTCATCGTACCTAGGGCAGCCACTCCCATTCTCACTTTCGACGTTGATTTGGATCGAAGTCTTAGTCATCGGATACATCGAATTCCAAAGGAACGCAGAGCTTGACCCGGAGAAGAGGATCTACCCGGGTGGAAAATACTTCGACCCGTTGGGGCTAGCATCCGACCCGGAGGAGAAAGCCCGGCTTCAACTCGCAGAGATCAAGCATGCTCGTCTTGCAATGGTGGCCTTCTTGGGATTTAGCATCCAAGCCGCCGCCACTGGGAAGGGCCCACTCAACAACTGGGCTACCCATTTGGGTGACCCCTTTCACACTACCATTTTGGACACCTTAGGCCTCATCTCTTCTTAACACCAAATTTTACTATCCACAATGGTTTATGTAGCAATATGAATCATGAAGCATGTATCATTTAAATTACATTTCAGTTTCATTTGATAATATTGTTATGTTTTTTTATTTTATTTTTCACACACACTAGTTTTATTATACCAATATCAAAGTATCATATTACTTCTACTATAGTTTCGTTTGATAATATACATTATTGCTTGAGTTTTTTTTTTTTTTTTTTTTTTTTGGTTTCATTTTCCACACACTAGTTTATTTATAATAATTGAAGTATTATTTTAATTGCATTTCAGGTTCATTTGACAATATATGCTATTGTATGGCTCTGAATTTTAGTTTCATTTTTCACGCATACTAATTTCATTATAACAATATTAAAATATCATTTTAATTATATTACAGTTTCATTTGACAATAATGTACTCTGTTTTTTAGTTTCATTCTCCATACACACTAGTTTCATTATAGCAATACTAAAGTTTTTTTTTTTTTTTTTTTTGTGTGAAAGCTAATGTATCTTTTTTTTTTTTTTTTTTTTTTTTACTAAAGTATCATTTTGATGGAAATATTGAAAATGACCCAATAATAGGGATCCGAGGTCTAGGAGTGCATAACCCGAGCAGCTCAAGAAGATAATTTAAGCAACCCAAAAAGAGTCTAAGATTCGGAGCCCGCCTCCGGACCGAAATGATGGGTCTTGACTTAGTATCACAGCCCACCATGTGGACCTTAATTGATTTATTCTCAAGGCTTGCCACATTTTTAACTAGGTTGGTTGGGCTTCTTTCTTGTATAAATTAACGTTGCTCAAGTATTACATATATACTCAATCTTGTCTTATTCTTCTTGTAATACACTTATATCATATTAAACAAGGAAATATCGTTATTTCCACCCCTTTATTTTATGCGAGCTTATTAATTTGTATAATTACATATTACATACCTCGGATCAATTTTCTCTATCACATTTAATTTTGCTATAATTTCATTAGACGATTATAGTCCACGCAGTGCTGTGTGAATCATAGTACATTTTATAACAATTGATTCTTAACATAACATGAAACCACAACTCTTTGTTCCTATAGCTTTATTTCTTACTTTGTCAAAAGCTTTTTCGTTTTCGTGTATGACGCTATTGTTGTATGATAATTATAAAATATTTCTATTTGTTACTTATGACTTATCTAATATTCTAATCTTCAAAATTAGGAAGTTCCTTGAAATATTTTAGTTCCTTCAACTCAATCTTGGTGAATTAGTTCGAAACTGATAATTTTTTAAAAAAAAAAGAAAAAAAAATAATAGTAGTAGTACCCCCTCCTCTATTTTTCTCTAGGTTAGATGTCATTTTCCTATTGAATAATTATCTTTAATTTATTTTTAATTAATGGTAGACTAACCAATTCATGGCCATTCAATGAATAGAGGCTACATTTAGGGTTGGGGTTCAACCTTTGGAAGAATGAACAGAGGCTACATTAGGAAAAAAATATGAGGAAAAATTCAGGAGAAAAAAATATTATTTTTCTTTAAAAAATTACGTGATAAAAAATTTTGTTATCTCTATTTAATTTGAAGGTTAAATTAATTTTTTAAAATCTAAATTAATTTAGAAAAGTTACAATTTTGATCATTTAATTATTCTCAAATTTCAAATGTAGTTTATGTCTTTTATTTGTAATTAGATGAATAAAATTTACAATAATTAAAAAGTATGAAGTGTGTGTGACAACCCAAAATTTAATTTTATAAATCTAATTTTAAGAAATCCCAAAATAGCCATTTTCACTCCATTATTATTTTTTTTATATAAATTGGTGTTTGAATAAATTATTCTGAGTTACATTTTTAATTAATTCAACACCGAAACTTATTTTAATTTCAAAATCCTAAATTTTCGGGTACTTCGCGTACCAAGTTTTAAACTGAGAAACCAATCTGAGTGAGACTGGGAGAAATCTGAACCAAGTATTTGTTTAGAAATCATCTTTGGAAAAAACTATTTTGACCCCAAACTATTTAAAATCACCTTTCTAGACTATGGTCCATGTTGCAAGGTGGACCAAAAGCCTTTCCTCCTTGTCTGATATTTCTAGAACAACCACCAAATTACCATTTTGTCATCCACCAATCATGAGAGAATCCCCTAGGGTTTTGCACCCTATAAAACTCACCTTATTCCCTCATTGATGCCCTTATCTCTTTCTTTGCCTCACCAAAGCTTTGTCTACCAAGTAGAAAGAAGAACAACACAGTAAGTTTCATCCTCCTTCTCCATCCAATCCTAGCCTTCCATTTCCTTTCTAGCTTTCATCCATTCTCTGAGGTTCTAGCCTTAAGCTTTATATGGTTTGTTTGGGGAGTTTAGGTGGTGAAGGGGGTGCTAGCTAAGTTGGGAGGAAGAAGAGATCCAAGCTAGGAGTGCAAGCTTCAAAGGTATAACCCCATGGACTCCCACTTTAGATTTTGGCTCTGTGAAGCCTAGTTTCTTAGGTAGAAATGAGTAGAAATGATAGATTTTTGATGTGTTTAAGCCATGAGGTGATCTATTACTTGTCTTTGATGTGTTGTTAATGTTTTGGATGAGATGGAGTTGGCTTAATTTTGATTGCAGATGAAAATATATCATCTGGTGCACGGACAGTGTGCACCAGATGAAGTAATGGCCCTAGCCAACGGCCCAACAAGGGGACTGTTGGCTAGAACCGTGGCCGGTCGGGCCTAGGGCACGGCCTTAGGACAGGGTCGTTGCCTAGGTCCGGCAATTTAACGGCCTGAGGGGGCATGCCATGTTGAGCCCCGCCCCATGGTCCCTGAGTTATCTCTGTGCAGTGGTCGGACCCTTGTGGCTCAGCTACGTGTCGTTTCGGGCCAGGTGTCACGGGCCCTTGTGGCTCGGTACCTCGGGGTCATCTTGACGCACGTTTTGGTTTTGATTTCGTTGAATTTGGATTAGAAATGAGCATGTTATGATGGATTTTGTGATGAAATTGCTCCGCAGTAGTATGATTTGTGTTCACCGCCTTTGAGAATTGTTGTGTGATATCTTCCTAATGCTATTTGTGAAATGAATAGAGAAGCATGATCACCTAGTGAATAAGAATTGTTAGAAAAGCATGACTAGAATGTGTTGTATGTTCAATGGAATTTGAAGACTATTTTGATGGTTAATACATACAGAGTTTGATATGTTGCAAACCAAGCATGTTGTTGCATCCTTGAGAGATCACTGTGATATTTAATTTGAAGCATGTTGTACAGTAAATTGCATTCCAAGTAAATCATGTTCTAAAAGTGCATAAGTGGCCAACGTGAGCATAAGTATTATTTTCCAAAAATCTCATTCCACGTAGTGAATCTTTGTCTTATCTTTGAGAATGAATTCAGAAGTATGTGCCTGTCTTTTGCATAAGTTAAGTGTTGCATATATGATATGCATGAGCGATATATTTATATCTATCTATGGTGAGAAAACCTTGTTTTGGAGGACCCGTTTGGACTACGTCATCTCGGATGAATGTTACGGACATTGCCGTCCCAGTATATGTAACGCGGTGTATTCCCACGTTACGAGGTTGGAAACTACCCGCCAGGCTTGGAATCCTGGTCAGGGGGTGTGCACGCTAAAAGTTCGATACCTGATTCCACAGAGTTTGAGCATAGAATCAAGAGAGTGGTTCGGTGGACGAGATGAGTATTAGGCCGGCTAGACGCCGTGCCCGGATAGGTTCGTTCACGATACGGTGAAGTTCCTACCTCGTCCATTTGTAAAGAAAGCGAGTAATTGCGACTTTAAGAAAAGAAAGAAAGCATACCTCCATAAAAAAGTATTCTATTTTACAAGCGAGTGTTGAGTATACTTATAGTATTGCACGAGATTGCATTTGAGTTTAGTAATGCACGAGATTGCATTTGAGTTTAGTATTGCACGAGATTGCATTGGAGTATAGTGTTGCACGAGATTGCATAATGAGAATGTTTGCACTAGATTGCATAATGAGTATGATTAATCGGGATTGTATATTGAGCATGATTGCTTTAGTTGCATTTTGATATCTTATATATCTAGTTTGCAAGATGTGATTTTGAAAGCATGAAGACAATTTCGTATTGGTTGTTAGTATGAAATTGATTGATAGCATGAGTTCGTCATGATGAGTTTTGTTATGAGAAATTTGTGTTGGAATATTCATGTTGGTGAGTTATTTATATTTGAAGCATGCCTGATGATATTATTGGTTGCAAGCATATAGAAAGTCTGTGATGTATCTTAAAGCTGTCTAAGTGTCGAGATTGCTTGATTAGAGTTTGCGAACAAATGTTTTTCCAAAGTATATACTGTAGTACTTTACAGGGTTGAGTGTGGTTATACTTAGCTTCGTGTTAACGGGTGTTTTCCTGCTTGTCTATGTGTTGTTTTGCAAAACCCCTTTCAGGTGGGCCCAGCATTTGAGAGATGATCGAGTTAGACTAGCTTAGTAGATCTAGTAGTCTAAACTCGTAGTTTTATTATTATGATGTTTATTTTGATGGATTGTAGACATGTTTTTGATGTTGGATGATAGACATCGGAGTGTTTCTCCCCCTTATGACTTTAATTAAGTATTCGCTATGTTATTTGGATTTAATGAGTTAGTTCCATCCTTGGCCTGTGCAATCACCGTGGAGAGGTGGTTGTGGCGGTGACATTCCCACTAGCTTATTATTTAAGATTGTATATTCGCTGCTTAGTTTATGTTAATGTTGGTTTTAAAATTGTAATTAAGTTTAAGAAAAGTAGGGTGTTACAGTGTGTGTGTGAAGGTTAAATTAATTTTTTTAAAATCTAAATTAATTTAGAAAAATTACAATTTTGATCATTTAATTATTCTCAAATTTCAAGTGTAGTTTATGTCTTTTATTTGTAATTAGATGAATAAAATTTACAATAATTAAAAAATATGATGTGTGTGGGGATTGAAAAAGTTTTCTTTAAATTTGAAAAAAAAATAGAATTTTCCTCCGTTTGGTTCATAGAAAATTTTTTTCACAAAAAAATATATATATATTTTCCTTAATTTTGATGAAAAATTTTTCCAAGGAGGGGGTGGTGTATTGGTATTTTGTTTCTATAGAAGTTGAGAAAAAAGTATCACATAAAAGAACAATTTTACCTTTATTACTTTTGTTATCATAATCTTTCCATTATTCCTTATCATTCTAACCCACCTAACAACGAAATCAATATTCTATAATTTTTTTTCACCAACTAAATAAGAAATTTAATTTCTCTGATAATTTCTTTTCTATAGAATTTCAATTCCATTTGCCTTTAAATATTTTTTGTGAACGATGGCTTAATTTGGAATTGAATTGACTAAAAAATATCTACACTCTACAATCCAAATCCTACTTGCCCACTCAAAAAGCCCAAAATGGAATGTGTAAAGTGGAACATTTAATGTGGGCCAACCCAATCCAAAAGCCTATATTTTTCGAACAAATGAAATCCGCTAATCCCTTCTAAGTTCACACAAGGGATCGGCGGCACGGCGGAAGCACGGCGGAGGCGGCGCCGAGGAGGTCTTCTGGAGCAAACCTTAGAACTCTTCTATCGCCGCAGGGGTTTCTTCTTCATTGTAAGCGCCTCTTTCCCTCCCACAGTCGTGCCTTCTAGACCAGCTTGAGATAGCAATTTTCCAACTCTACATTCCCATTTGTTTCTTGAATTGCATTTTTGTTAATTTTGGATTTTGTATATTTATCCAGTGCTATAGAGCTAATTCAGAGCTGTAATTATATGATTATAACTCTTTACCGATGTTCTAAATTTCTTGAATTGCATTCTGTTCTGTGTTTTCGACTTTTGATGTTGGAATAAATTTGTAAGAACCAAAGGCACCATTTTGAGGGATGGAAAATTTTTCAATCTTTACATTATGAACAAAGGAAAGAAGCCTTTTGAGATTAATAAGAACAAGAAACAATTCACTCCACTTATATGAGAAAAATTCAACAAAGCTACATGTATAGAGCAAGTTTGATCCTTTTAGTCTCCCATTTGGTCAATGGCTGTTAGTTGTTAGATGATTGGGTTAATTAGAGGGTATAACTAGTTGATAACATTATCTGATTGTAGAAATGTGTTTGGTAAATGAGCTGTTAGCTGATAGCTGTTTGGTATAATTTCTTTTTTCAAAAAGTTAGTTGAAAGAGTTGCTTTGAGCGCTTTTTGAATTTTAGCATTTTGGAGTTACAAAAAGCTAATTAACCAAATACTTATATTGATTTTTTAACCAAGTCAAACAATTAATAGTGGTCAAATAAGCCAAAATTTGCTTATAAGCTAATTATTTTACCAAACAGGGCGTGAAGCATTTATTCTGTATGAATCATCTTTATACAAAATATTTAAAAAATAAAAAAATTAAGGAACTGCATTCTCATTATCCTTTTATGCATCTCGAACTAGAAGTTTCATGGCCTATGAGCTTTTCAGTTACTACCTACTATGTTTCTCTTTTAAGAAAAAAATGGTTACAGATATGCACACTGGCATTTGTTTTTCATGCATCTTATAGCGACTGACTTGTTTTATAATTATCGTCAGATATGTTGTTGTTGCAGATGGCTCTGGTGTATTACGGATATTAAGTTAACCAATAGGCAGTACAAATATGGGAACTCAAAATATTTTATGGAATACGACTAAGAACTTTTTTACTGGGAGCCTCATCGCTATCACTATATCTGATCGTTATGCCAATGTAGTTTCTCTTAAAGGCGTCTCCATGGCTCCAACATTTAACCCTCACGGAGATGGACTCTTGACTCGTAATATCAGTAGTTACATTCATATTTTTGTCCTCTGCACTCCAATGTTGGGCAGATTTTCACTGGCTTTCACTTGACCCAGGTGACCGTGTTTTAATGGAGAAATTATGCCTCGGAAAGTACGAGTTTTCTCAAGGTGATGTAGTGGTCTTCAGGTAAATTATGTTGGTGCTATTTCAGTGGAATTTCATATATTTGTATCCTGAATTCCTGATATCTTGTTCACTGCAAGTAGTTGCATACTGTTGGGCGGAGGCCAGTAAAGGGTCAAGTCTATCAATTGGTGGCTAGAGGATTGTTAGGCGGAGGCCGGTGAAGGGTTAAGTCCAGCACCCTGTCTCTCGAAAATGTGATGGTGGTCTATAAGGAAATAAAGTTGCGTCTTTGCTGCTAGCTATAACTTTTGGCGTAGTGGTACAAAAACTGTGTAGTTAAGACTGGTAGGTGCTGGGAGAGGGAAATGTTGCTATGAATGATCTGAGCTGAATTTTTGAGTGTTTCCCAAATGTCAATGCACAATTTTTAACATGTACATGTTTAGTTGTAGATTTTTGAAATTCTCAATCTTGTGGCATCTTTCTTCTGAACGGCATTAACTATAACGTGGACTTCATTATTAGTTTATTGACACAGAATTGTTGTAAACAGAAGTAGTAGTTTCTTCAAGATGCTATGTCTTATATTTTGCGGATCTGTTACCATTCCTTTTGACGAAATCCTATTGGTGTTACATTTTCTTTTAAGATCTCCTTCTAATCATCAAGAAAAACACCTGAAGAGGATAACAGCCTTACCGGGTGACTGGATCGGTACACCCCATTCATATGATGCAGTGATAATACCAGAAGGCCATTGCTGGGTTGAAGGCGACAATGCAGCTTCGAGCTTTGACTCAAGATCCTATGGCCCTGTAAGTGAAACAACATGACATTCAATCTCTCCCCCATGAATTATAATTTTTGCACCGTTGAGATTTTCTATTTGCATCCGTCATAGCATGTGAAATAAGTTTCTTTTGTTTTTTTTTTTAGTTGGTCATTTCGTAATAGTGTTCTTGTCTTGAAATACTGTAATTCCAGATCCCATTGGGTTTAATTTGTGGAAGGGTCACACACATTATCTGGCCACCTCAGAGAATCGGTACCGTAGAAAGAAGTCCTCCTCAAAACATCCCGCCTTTGTAAATGTATTTCGACACCAATTTTCTTCCTTTCATCCAGTTGCCCACACTCACTTCCATGGAGGATGAAAACAACAATTTGCATCCTAATAATGTCACAATACCCGGATTCTTGAACGTGTGTTTTGACACTGAAGTTTCTGTCTTGGAATTTTTCAATAGAATTCTGTACTTTGTTGTGAGACATTATATGGTATTATTTTTTCCTTTGAAAATTCCCAGATTGAAACAGTGGCTGGCTCCTAGTGCTTGTAATTGTAATGTAAATGAAGCAAGAAAAGGGAATCTGATCTGTTTTTCCAAGGTTTGACCAGTTGGTGGGATGAACATGATGTTGTAACTGTAATTGGGTGACGTGAGTCATGTGATAACGGATCGTTTGCTTTTCCTTAAAGATTTTGTTCCAATAAGTGTACAACCTGTGAAAGGATGCTGGGGTTGAATGGCTGAGATCTTGCCAACGTTTGAGATCTAGTGTAGGTTGGTAATGTTCAGTCGTGTCTTTATACAATCCTTATTTGCCTCCACACTCCACTTGTGGAAACGTTCAAAACAAGCCATGCTAAGGTCAATAAACAGTTTGTTTGGATGTAGTGGGTTTTGTTTGGGCAATAGGCACTGGTTCTTCTACTTAATAGGTCATCAAGTTATTGTAATTTATCTCTCTACTATCTTATCAAGCCGTGTTGTGAGAAGTTTGAAAATGAGGAAATTTTGCCTTTTGTAGGCAATAAATAGTTTATTTGGCGTAGAAAAGAAAACATGACGAACGGAGAAAGTGGAGAATAGAGACGGAGAGTTATTTATACGGAGTAATATAATTGTTATTGTTCGAAGCCCCGCTTTATATAGTAATATATGAAGCCCCTCCTACTTAATATGTCATTAAGTTATCGTGATTTATCTCTCTACTATCCTATCAAGCCGTGGTGTGAGAACCTTGGATGTGAGGAAATTTTGCCTTTTGTAGGCAATAAATAGTTTATTTGGCGTAGAAAAGAAAACATGACGAAGGGAGAAAGTGGAGAATAGAGACAGAGAGTTATTTATAATATAATTACTATGGTTTGAAGCCCCTCTTTATATAGTAATATATGAATATTCAATGCAAATATTATAAACGTTAAAAGATTGGATTTGAAATTTAAATTTAATGGGCATTAAAATAATGTACATTGCCACTAAACAAACGAATTTTGTGACCACTTATAAATAGTCACTCACTAATGTATAGTTATTGAATGTGTGTGATGTGATGTTTTATCACATTAGGAAGTGATTGTTTATAAGTACAATTATAATGGTGCTTAAAGCATCACCATCAGTTTTTTTTTTTTTTTTTTTTTTTTTTTTTTAACCGTTGCAGGTGTGTGTTGAGTGTGTATTTATTACTTCATTTTTTTAAATTTTTTTTAAAACTTTTTTGTCATATGTTTTTTTTTTTCTTTTCTTTTTTCTCCATTTGTCTCTTCCTTCTCTTTTCTATGTGGTTCGGAAAAAAAAAAAAAAAAAAAAAAAAACTCTTAGAGATGCTCTAAGAATTTTTCTTTTATTTAGTTTTCCGTATAAAAGTATCAACATAACTTGTACAAACTTATAGTGCCCAGGTTGCGGTTGTGCGGTTTAATCTGGACCATTCATCTCGCTTAAATCAACGTCCAGAATTGTCAAAATTTAAAAAAAAAAAACGCGGTGGCAATTTTGTAATTTTTGCATGCAGGTCAAAATTAAGATGAACGGATCTGTGGTTAATGTGCGTGGGGTTTGCTTAATGTGCGTGAGGCTGTACTTAATGTGTGTGGGGTTTGTACTTAATGTGCGTGAGGTTGTGCTTAATGTCAATAGTTGTTGAAACTTAAAATCTGTGAGTTAATATATTAAAGTGCGTGGGGTTTGTGCTTAATGTGCGTGAGGTTGTGCTTAATGTGTGTGGGGTTTGTACTTAATGTGCGTGAGGTTGTGCTTAATGTCAATAGTTGTTGAAACTTAAAATCTATGAGTTAATATTTAAAGTGCGTGGGGTTTGTGCTTAATGTGCGTGAGGTTGTGCAGACGCTATCATTTGTGTAGACGCTATGTGTAGACGCTAACATTTGTGTAGACGCTGTGTAGGCGCTATCTTCTTCCCGACACGCGGTTTTTTTTTTTTTTTTATATAATTTTTATTGATTTGAGCCGTTGATCTAAATTTGATCAACAGCTCATATCTAACCGCACAACCGCACGGGAAGCTATACTCGCACCTGAACCCTTCCCTATATATATATATATATATATATATATATATGTATGTATGTATGTATAGTTTTAACCTTTGCAATGGTTAATCAATCAAAAAGTTTCATTGATTCAATTTAAATTGGCTTAGATGACAAAAGTGCAACTTTCAATCTAGGATTGCAAAAAAATATGACCTTATTCAACATAATATATAAAAAATAATAAATATGTAGTCTCACTATTAATTTAACACTTTAATTAAATCTTTAAAAAAAAGTATATACTCACAGGTTTCTTTAAGACATTTTAAACATTTTTTTGAAACAGACATTTTAAACATTAATTACATTATAAAACAATAAATATGTAATCACATTTAATCTCCTCAAGAATTGGAGCTCTGGGTTTGATAAGTTAAGCCACGTTTTAGACATAAAACTTGAATTCAAATTTATCCCTGGCATTTTCAAGTTACGTGCCTAAAAAGAAAAAAAACTTTATAAAGAATTGAATAATTGTCATTCTTTCAACAAAAAAAAAAAAATAATAATAATTGTCATTTTGTGTGTGAATTTTTCTTTTAAAAAAAAATAGTGTCTGAAAAAGGCTCAAAACAAGAGGCTCCATTGTCAGAAGGTCCCTGTGTCAGTTACTTGTAGCAATTTGATTATTGTATAGAAGTTGGCACATTTTAATTTCAAACCCACCCCTCACGTGATCCAACCCTACTCCCACCTCCTCAATTATTGCCCTCCCCAGAATGTTACTTTACTCCAAATTACATAACCGGATGAAAAAAAGTTCCAGTTAAGGTTGAAACTTTTTTTTTTTTTTTTTTTTTTTTTTTTTGGGAAAAAGGTCAAATAGGCCCTCGAATTTTAGCTTAAAAGTCAATTAGGTCCCTAAATTTTTTAAAGGTGTAATTACACCCATCAACAGTTTATTTAAGTGCAACGAAGCTCAAAAATAAATTAATGACCTGCTATCACAGGTCATTAGGGTTCAAGCCACCTTCCGACGAATTTTCCGGCAAAAAAAAATGACTGGCGAAATTTTCGACAAAAGAAGTGACCGGCGAAATTTTCGGCAAATCTGGGTTGGTTGCTGGTCACCTCTTTTTTTTGTCGGAAAATTCGCTGGAAGGTGGCCTGAACCCTAATGACCTGTGATAGCAGGTCATTAACTTGTTTTTGGGCTTTATTGCACCTAAATGAATAGTTGATGGGTGTAATTGAACCTTTAAAAAGTTTAGGGGCCTAATTGATTTTTAAGCTAAAATTCGAGGGCCTATTTGACCCTTTTCCTTTTTTTTTTTTTTGGGGGAAAAAGTTAAGGTTTAAACTTAAAACTGAAAGAATTACAGTTAAAATTAAGGTTTTACTTTGGTAAACTGTGAACCGCCGATTACAATTTAAACTTTTTTTTTTAAAAAAAAAAAGTCATTTTGAGAAGATATGGTCATATAGAAGCAATGTTGTCTTGATAAAATTAATGGGTTGTTTAGTAGGATGGAATTACAATTCCATTCCTACCAAATTTTATGGAATAAAAATTTCATTATTCAATCCAACCATAGTGATGTAGTATATATGGATGGTGTCCTCTATGATATACAGTCCTAGGTCGGTTCTGGACTCGGATTCTATGTCTAATTTGCTTGTTGGTTTAAGTTTTATAGCCCGGTCTACGTGACAGTGGGTCAGAGGTTTTCGAGGTAGTCGCTAGGATTTAGAAATAGTCAAAAAGGTCCCCTTTCCAACAATAAATGCGGTATTTATAGGGGTATATATGGAACAAGTTCCGGGCCGGCGACATGTACAACACATGGACCTTATGCACAAGCCCAGGTAGGGGCCTAAGGGGGCCTAGCCAAGTGCCATGGGATCCCTGATCATACAGTATTCTGTCGCCGGAGCTAAGTTGCTAGGTCGGGGCACAAGCATTATGATGTTGTCCCCGTCACTTGCCTTTGGCAGAGCTCGGTAGGCGAGATGGTCGGGAGAAAGCGGGGAATTGGTCGGTGCAGGTCGAATTGGGCTCAGCTTGTATAAGGGGTCTGTTACCAACCACTGCATGGGTGCAATTACCAAGTGGGATAATCCCCATCACATAGAATTGCAAGAATTGAAATTCCACAAGCTGTGGAATTGGAATTCCATAGTACATTACGATTTTGCAATTATTTTTACTAGTATTTGCACCCGTGTGATGCACGGAATGTATTCGTTATAATATATGAATTATAATTTGCTTCATATTCGATAGTATAAATTTTAATGTTGAATTAAGGTTTGTATGAATGTTTCGGAATTGAATTAATTGGTCTCATTATCTTTTTGTGTAGTAATTTAGCTATAGAAATTTTTGTAATGGAATATATACGTAATATATAAATATGTAACAATTTTGTTATATTTGTACCAGAAGAATGCATAATATAACTGTTTTGAATTACACATTGTTGAAAACCTCTTTGTAGACGACATTAGCAGTAGTAACAGATCTTTGTCCATCATCGTCTAGAGCTAAAACCTTAAGGCCATCAGGATGAGTGACTCGGGAAAAAGCCACGTACAATTGACTGTGATTAAAGACTGGTTTTTTCAACAATAAGCCAACGTGAGTTAGTGTTTGACCCTGGCTTTTGTTGATAGTGATTGCATATGCTAGCATCAACGAGAATTGTTTACGCTGGAACCTGAACGGTAATCTCGTATCAAAAGGGGTGAGAGACATTCGTGGTATAAGAACTTTGGTTCCTTGCTGCGTTCCATTAACTATTCTTGCTTCGACAATATGATCTGTCAATCTTGTAACGATGAGGCGCATACCGTTGCAAAGACCAAGAGAGTGGTCTATGTTCCGCAGTAACATAACAGGTGCACCAACCTTTATTGTCAATGAATGATTAGGAAGTCCAGACAATCTCAAGATATTTAAAAATCCAGGAGTGTGTACTTGTGATAGATTATCACCATTTGATTATGCCTTACACAAAGAGTCACAGCTTAAATACGTCTGACCTTCTGTAGTGTTCATGTCACACATATACTGATTAATTTGATCAACAACATCTAATGTCGGTGAGAGGATCGCTCGTCCTTCTAGGTGCGACTCTTCTAGCATTTCATACTTCGCGGTTGGGAAGATGCTTTCAACTATAGTTGCAATTGGATCAGGTCCACACTTCAACATAAACCTTGGTGGAATATCGATCTCAAACAAACCATTGTTTACAAACCCTGTAATCTCATCTCCGATGTCTGCAATCCATCTTGAGAACCAATCAACCGTCTGTCTATCTTTGTTTGAAGCTAAGCTCTGTAGTCTCAGGTTCTTCGTGAGCCTCAATACCTTGCAATTCCTCCAGAGGTATGAAGAATTAATAGTGGCTCCCACAACCATTGGTCTCGTTGCTTTTGGAATAACTGGAAGAATCTGTCTAAAATCACCGCCTAATACTAGTGTCTTTCCACCAAATGTTTTCTGATCACTACTAGGTATGGTGAATCTCAATATATCCCTCATGGTTTTGTCTAAAGCCTCAAAATAGTATTTGTGTGTCATCGGTGCTTCATCCCATATTATCAATTTGCTCCTGATTATAAGTTCGCAAATGTCACTTCCTTGCGATATATTGCAGGTGGAATCTTCATTCACTGAGAGTGGTATAGCAAATCGAGAATGCGTCGTCCTGCCACCCGGCAATAGCAAAGATGCTATTCCACTTGAAGCAACGTTTAGAACAATATCTTTGCGGCTCCTTATCTTTAAAGATGATGTTCTCCACACGAACGTCTTGCCTGTTCCTCTGTAACCATACACAAAAAACAATCTCCCTCCATTAGAACCAATATCATTAATCACAGAGTCGTAAACAACCTTCCGTTCGTCCGTCAATTGAGTTACCAATGTTTCATGCTTTGCCTTGAATGATTCATTGTCGTACGCCAACTCTTCGGATATCAACATGTTTTCCGTCAATCCAATGTTGTTTTCTTCTGGAAGCGGCATTTCTGGATAGTCGCGCAGGCTTTTCCCCCCACAAAGACAGTAACTTCTCCAACTCGACTAGCACAAATTGTTGTTTATCGTATTCCGATAACAACAAATCTTCATAGTTTAGAAACGAAGCGAAAATAAAATCAAAGAACGGGTTTTTGTATAAATAATGAAAAGCAAATAATAATGTTCAATAAAGAGATTGGATGTTGATGTACCTGGATTGTGCATGAGACGTCGACGATGAAACTGTGCATCCTCCGCAAGAAATTGCCAAACGGCATTCCACACCACCTCGGGTCTACTGATTGAACTTTTAGTGAGCAACGTAGTAAACAACCTTCGCAATGCAGGCGCGGATGCCCAGTAACTGGATTCAGTAATACCGTCGATGTACTCCTTGTCATCATCTAATAATTCATATTTCATAACACGCATCCCTAAATGATTTGTGAATGACCCCCCAACAGTGTGAATATCCTCATGGCTTGAAGGTCCACATATGATATTTAAAAGGCATCTTAGATAATATAATTATCCACACCCTAAAGGAACATAGAACAATCGTCCTATGGAGAATCCTTTCTTCCTTAGATGTCATTCACGCACGTCTTGTCTCCAAACAAACTTACTAGGGAACTCTGAAAAAGTGAGCGACCGAGCATCTTCGTATTTTTTGTTTGCCTCAAACCAAGCTGTGAATTGGCTCTGCTTAACCGTTTAGTTCTCAACAATCTCGTCGAGGCTTTGATCTTCCCCAGAGACAACGTTCTGTTGGTGCTTTAAGTGGAAATTTAACCTCTCCACAGGTGGCGTGCAATGATGGATAACATACCCAAACAGTAGCCAAGTGGCTTCACATGCTGATATATAGCGACAATTGTAGTACATGTTAATCTCATCAACCACATCACCACTGACTGCACTCATAGAATTACTCATGAACTCTGCCGTGACTCGATCATTTCCTTTATTGACGTATTTGAATAAATATTTGATCGATCTCGACTGGTTGCACCATTCAACATTAATATGTGCGTGATATTTTAGAAGCAGATGTTTATTATGCGGGACAACGTGACGGTTATCAAGTTGGATTCCATTCCTACTGATTGTGCATCCATTGTCACGCCTTCTGTAGATTGGGTATCCATCTTTATCCAGAATCATCTGACTAACATATTTTTTGGTGAAATACTTTGAACATTTACCATTAACCATGCATGGAAAATTCTTCCAGAGTTGTCCGCACGGTCCGTGCAACATAAATTCGCTAACTGCGTCATTGTACTCATTGTCGGCATCTGGGTCTGGAATCTCAGCAGAAATCAAGGCATCAATTTCTGATGTAGAATGTGCCCGATTGATTCTTTTGGCAAATAACAATATCTGCGCATGAGGGAGTCCTCTTTTTTGAAATTCAGTTGTGTAGATAACTGTGCAGAAAATTAAAATTAAAAAAATTAATTTTATACATGTAATTTAGATTTAATTAAGGCACATTAAAGTATGTATAATAATCAAATACCCCCACATATGTTGCCAAACAGCTTTTCTGTCTTGATCTTTTCAATCATAGCATCAAGTTTCATCTTAAAACGCGGCAAACAATATCGAGTCTATCCTGTGCTTTAAGCCCACGTTGTGCAACATACCGCTCAATCTCAGGCCACTTCGGGTTGCATGTGAATGTTATGAACAGATGAGGATAACCGATGTGTCTGCATATTGTCATTGCATCTTGATAGTTTTGAATCATATACCTAGCTCCGCCTGTGAATGATGATGGTAGTATAATTCTTTTACCCCGAGTTGTGGGATCTTGCATTGAAATGTTACTGCAGATATGGTTGATGAGAGTCCATAATCATTCAATGGACCACCCTCTAATGTATATGAACCTGCAATTTGGATCATGAAACACAACTCATAATTAGAAGGTAAGTTGTTTTGAACCACTGTAATAGAGCATATAATTTGTTTTTTTTTTTTACAAATCTTGTTTTGTTATCTTTGTTCCATGGTAATATAGCGTTGAATAATATTTTCACGAATAGTATTATAAGAACAAAGTGTAAAAATTAAGAATCATAATGCAATTTGAAATACAAACTAATTTGTCATACAAGCACAATTGTATTTAAAAGCAAACATCACCAACTAAAAGCTAACAGAATAAACCATCTGTTTAGCATTTAGTATATTAAAACAAAACAAATCACTAACTAAAATTTATATTGTTTATGATTAGACAAAAACAAATCAACATAGAGTATCATGGATTTGATTCATTCTTAGGCTTTTTTAAAGTCTTTGAAGATGATGAACAATCCATATTTATTATCTTCAAAGATGGCTGCTCAGGAGTGCTTTCATCAAGAGAGATCACTTCTGGATTAGACAATGATATAGCTTGCAGTGGTTCAATCCCATGGTTGGAAAACAATTAAAAACATTAGCATTAAAAATATTTAAAACACTGTATAAAAACATGTTAAGATAGTACAAACTTGTTCAAAATTTTCATTGAACTCTTTTTCATCAGCAAGCTTCCTAACCACACTTCCTTCTTTTCCTTTGTTGACTGAAGTACATACTCTCTCATCATTTTCCACTCCTAGAATAGTAAAATCAACATTTCCTCTATAATTGAATTATTCTTGTTGTATGACTATCCTGAATTTCATGCTCTTTCCAATCAATTCCTTAATCTCATTGGGCATACAACCCTCCTATATCAACCAAATAAACATTAAAGTAAAAATTAGAAAACTGATAAAATTATTAACATTGTAAAAAACAAAGTGGTAATTTCACTAACCTAAGAATATTTCACCTTCAACTCGCTAGCAGTGATCCCTAGGAGAGACGAACACACATTATTCCAAAGTAGTAGTTGACCATCTTGATCATCATCAAGGATAACAATCACCAATCTATATTTTATGATTCCGTCAGACCGCTGTTTGTTACATGACTTACAATACATTTTGTCCTCACTTTCTTGAAGTTTCCTCCCACAGTCCTTATTCCTACATGCAGGAATGTAATATAAATTTAGTATAAATGATTTTGACCTTCATTTCGTCATGAATATCCTTTAAAGAACTGACTGTGATATTCTGATTCGACATAGCTCCAATAGATCTGCTTCCAATGATTTTGGAACTTGAGCTTATACTCCGTATAGGAGTAAAGAACCTAGGCAAACTACTTGAAACAAATACGTTGTAATCGTTCAAGATGTTATCGATTGCAAATTATATGGCGTGACAAAAGTGAAATGCCTCAATATCTCTCCTTAAAACTGAAAAACTCAGGGCATTCGTAGTTGAACAAAATCTTAGTTGCTGTATAGGAACTGAAAATCTTGACCTCACCATCTAATATAAAAATTAGTTTTAAATACGTATATTCGACAAAAATAAATTAAAATCTATCGTTGTGTTATTACTCACCATCAGTCACCCTTTGCTCTACATAGTTGTAGTATAACAATCAATGGATCTGTTAAAACAACATTATAGAACGACAACAACGAATCCACATGCTCGTCCCACAGGATTATGCTCAATCGACTTTTCCTGAATTAACACAAATTGATTTCGTAATAAAGGCTATATATTTATTTATACAAGTAAAGAAGACATAACAATTTTATAAAAACACACACCTACAACCCTCAATGACGAAATCAATCAACCTTTAAGGTTTTTGATTAACTTGAATAACTTTAGGCTCATAAATGGGAACTACACGACTAATCAAATATGTGGGAAAACAAAAAATAGAATCGAAAGATTACAGAAAGAAATGACATAGACTAATATGAAAGAGAAATAAAAATAACAATATGTATAAAAGTTGTTGCAATGATCTTACCAATACAATCAACACCTCCTGGAGCCTTCAAGGACCCAAAGTCCTTAAATTTAAACATGTTCTTTGGAAAAATTGAATCATCTTGATCCAAGACTTTAATCACCGTGTCACTGTTTGCTTTCAAAATGAATTTGTACTAGCACGTCTTAAACCTCATGCGAGATGTGCGCACAATGAAATTTTGAATCTCATACAATTTTCCTTAGATCAAAACAGTAGCAAATTTGTCCACATATTCTTTTGGAATTTGTAGATTTATTCATATTCCCTACGGGAATCATTCATTAATTGGTAAGTAGATATTAAATAAAAGAGTAAAACTATGGTGTAAATAATTTATAAATTTAATACATACCTTATAGTCGTGAAATAAGCATTCCAAAGTTTGGTGGTGCAATGACGTGCATTGATATTCTCTAGAAAAATAACACTGCATTAACCGAAGGCAAATAGATGTTTTTTTTAGTTCTAAGAGAGAGATTAGATGCAGAAAGCTGATTAGACTCCATGTGATTTCAACCGTACGATGCAGTATTGTGTATTGGTTTTATATGTAGATATATGAGAAAAATGTAGTATTGTGTATTGTGTACTGATTTTATAAGAAAATTTGACTGAGAGTTGTAGCGCGTGCGCGCGCACACACACACACACATATCAATGTACACGGTAATTTGCATATGACAGTATGGAAAGAAATTACCATATTTTAATATCTAATAAAAATTATATTATAATGTAATTAAAATTATATTTTAATATCTTATGGAAAGAATACGAAAAGAATATACGATTAGTACACGGTAATTATATTTTAATATCATGTATATGATTAGAACACATGGATGTACACGGTAAATTAAATACTCATACCTAATATGTATGGTAATACCTAATTAAAATTATTTAATACCATATGTAATTAATGTACACGATTTTACAATATGAGAGTATGGAAAGAATATACCATATTTTAATATCTAATTAAAAATATATTTTAATATACATGGGTTCATACGCAGATTTATGATGTAGACCAATTATTTTATGCCGTGTAAAAAGAATTTGTACAAATGTTATGATTATTTAATGGTGTAACATATATATATATATATATATATATATATATA